TGAAAGTAATCCTAACTCTTCTCCACATGTACATGTAAACGTCCTTCTCAGGGAATGATAGGCAAAAATTGCTCCGACCATACCAACATCTTAGTCTTCATATCTTCGAAAATTGCTTTAGATGTGAGCACAAGAAATCTAATCATCGTAATTTTGAAGAAAGGTTTTTTCAATCTAATATTGCCAAACAAGGAATCATTTATCCTCTGATGGAGATAATTGATGACCGACGAATGCCCTAAACTTTTCAAGTAATATGCTAATAACTACCTTTAAAATTTAGCATTTTATAGCGTGCTGCCACATTAGTGTTTACAAAATGTGACTACCACTTTGATTATAATAATTAAAAATAAACAAAGGAATTGGGATGAACTCGTTGCCGCAACTTGGACTTGTTGTCATGGCGACTTAGTAGAACGCACCTAGTCCGAAGTCGTCTGCCATAGTAGTTGTCATGATTCCCAGCATCTGATAGTGGACTTAATACATTCTTAAACGTTTCGCCGGCATCGTAGTCGACATTATCAGTGAGCCTTGCCATTCTCCGCGCCATGGTACGAACGCGTCAGAGACAAGTGAAGTCAATGCCTTGACGACCGTTTTGCCGAAAACGCTTACACTATCACTCCTCTTTTTGTCTATCCATCTACTCTTTACACTCTTATCCCACTGCCGCCCTATCACAACTTCTCACTTGTTTATATTTCATTCGTCAAAATGTGTGCCCTTTTGTGGCAAACCTAGTGTGGCCTCATCAAACTTGCTATTTACCCCGACCCCTCTCTTTCGATGGGCTTATCCGACTCAGGCCTCCAATCCGGATCCTTTCATTGTTTCGTAGATCCGTTCCTTATCTTTTTGGTTGACCGGTTTCACTCGGTTCCAGTCCCTGTGTACATTTCACTCCAGGCGCTATTTCTCAAGGCCATAGAAGCACGTACACCGCCGCTTCACAGAGCGGAGCGCTTAAGTTCTGATTCCTATACTTGCGGATATCAGACCTTCCCTTAACGGGTCGTCTTCTTAATTAAACCCATGTTATCTGAGCAAACTGTGGACGCCTATATCTGGTCGCATGCTTCATCTCAAGTGGATTTCGAGGACATTTTGGCCATAACGCCAAAGTTCCCTGACGGTTTGCTTATCCTTCTGCCCCGCTCCCTGACTGCCAGCACCCCAAAGTTGTACTGATTTATTCGAAATGGACATCACTGACTGACATCATCTTAACTTTATTGCCGAAAACCCCTCCCCCCCACTTTCTTAACCGCGATCTCTTTTCTTCCAGTTAGCAGTAGATCCTTGATCCTGGCGTCTCCTTTTTGCTGGTCTTGATCTATTCTTGTTTTCCCGAGTTTGCTTAAGCAGTAGGCAAAGTTATTGCTAACTCTATCTTCCTCCAATCTCCTGTTCATTACATTTTTCTCCCCAAAGATGTCAATGACCACCCCTTATCTTACACCTTCTTGTGTTGTCACCGTATGGGGCTCTTCTTTGTGTTGCCTTTCAATTGATCGCGGGCCAAGTCTGTGCGATGTGTTCCGATAGTTCTGATCTGTCGGTATCCATTCTTCTGCAGAGCCTCTAATATCCCTTGATTCGTGTGCTAATTTTTCTCCCTGTTTCGCCAATATATTTCTGATAACAATCGCCGCATGATATACTGTAAACTTATAAACAATCCAATTTGTCTACCCTTTCATCTTACGTTGATAGACTTATGAAAAGTGTTGATTCCTTTTTCATGGCAACCTGAATATTTCATTCACTCGATATTTGCCGTAGATTCTGAGTTAGTTCGCAGGAAGGTAGGCATATCCATTTTTGCGATCGCTTCATCGTCCTTACCGTTCTTTCATTGTCCCCGTTCTGCCATCGGTTTTTCACAGCCCGTACGTTTCTTTGTATCACTTCGCTTGGGTAGCCATTGCCGAGGAATATCCCCGTCAATTTGTCCAGCTCCTCGTCCAATAATTCTACATCCGTTAGGCGTAGGCTTCCGATGATCATGCTCTTCATTATTCCAATCTTTAGCTTGTACCTGTGATGGGACCAGAAATTAGGTATTATCCCAACATAGGACTCCTCTTTGAACAATTTCTTTTTGAGTGTCCCATTAGGGGGAATCACTTCAACGAATATCAGAGGCTCTGCAGGAAAATGGATACCGACAGATCAGAACTAGCGGAACACATCGCACAGACTGGGCACGCGATCAATTAAAAGGCAACACAAAGAAGAGCCCCATACGGTGACAACACAAGAAGGTGTAAGATAAGGGGGGGCATTGAAATCCTTGGGGAGAAAAATTTAATGAACAGGAGATTGCAGGAAGATAAAGTTAGTGATAACTTGCCTACTGCTTAAGCAAACTCGAGGAAAACAAGAATAGATCAAGACCAGCAAAGAGGAGACGCCTGGATCAAGGATCTACTGCTAACCGGAAGAAAATAGATCGCGTTGAAGAAAGTGGGGGGGGAGGGGTTTTCGGCAATAAAGTTAAGATGTTGTCAGTCAGTGATGTCCATTTCGAATAAACCAGTACAACTTTGGGGTGCTGGCAGTCAGGAAGCGGGGCAGACGGATAAGCAAACCGTCATGGAAATTTTGCGTTATGGCCAAAATGCACTAGAAATTCACATTAGATGCAGCATGCGACCAGAGATAGGCGTCCACATTTTGATCAGATAACGTGGGTTTAATTAAGAAGACGACCCGTGAAGGGAAGGTCTGATATCTGCAAGCATGGCAATCAGAGCTTAAGCGCTCCGCTCTGTGAAGCGGCGGTGTACGTGCTTCTAGGGCCTTGAGAAATAGCGCCAGAAGTGAAATGCACACAGGTACTGGAACCGAGTGAAATCGGTAAACCAAAAAGATAAGGAACGAATCTACGAGACAATGAAAGGATCCGGATTGGAGGCCTGAGTCGGATAAGCCCATCGAAAGAGAGGGGTCGGGGTAAATAGCAAGTTTGATGAGGCCACACTAGGTTTGCCACAAAAGGGCACACATTTTGACGAATGAAATATAAACAAGTGAGAAGTTGTGATAGGGCGGCAGTGGGATAAGAGTGTAAAGAGTAGACCAGGACAAAAAGAGGATTGATAGTGTAACCGTTTTTGGCAGAACGTTTGTCGAGGGATTGGCATCACTTGTCGCTTTGACGATTTCGTAGCCTGGTGCGGAGAATGTCAAAACTCATTGATCATGCCGAATACAATGCTAGCCAAACGTTTGAGAATCTACCAAGTCCACTGCCTGATA